ATTTTATTAAGTAAAATTATCTCACTATATTGACAACTTTGCTTGTTTTAAGAAATGTGCTTGAAACCAGCAAAATGATCTGCCAGTAATTTACTTAAATTACTTAAAACAGGTAAAACATGTCTAGAAAAAAGTTAAATGATCTTATAATAAGTGCAGAACCATCTGAAATAAGAAATATTAGATATATTGACTAGAATTAAGATCATTTTGTTTCACTACTTTTTGCAGTGCAGAATACTGAACTGTGTTGAATTTAACTGATTTATATTGGTGGTAGTCTTACTTACGACATACAGATGTGGCCACCCCTGTGGTCACCTCTGGATTCTTTCTGTACTTATCCTGAATGCCAATGAACAGCACCAGAGCTAAATCCCGCCTCACCTTACCACTTAAAATCCTGGGTGACATTGGTTTAGAATAAATAAATGAATAAGTGATAAATGGGGGTATATACACACAGGCGGGGTGTGGAGTATTACCCTCCTTACTGTAGGATGACAGCTGGCATCTATAAAAGCTTTGCTGTGTTATTTCATTATAATCCCAGCATCAAACCACAGCTCTTCAGATATAATTAATGACAACACACTCACTGAACCATCTGAGGCTGCCAGGCAGGCTCTAAACACACACACACTCACACACACACACTCACACACACACACACACACACACACACAGCCCCGAGTCCAATTACAATAAAGGCATCCATCATATCCACTGAGAAAGATAAGGTGTTGGGTAAAGAAAGCTGGGTCATTAGAACATTACCCACCACTCCTTTATACAACAGACACAAAGGGGACGCGAGACGATGAGCTTTTCAGCCGGGAGTAACTCTACAGATCTATACCTGTTAGGGTCCAATCTGAGCTGCATTCATTCGTCAGCCATTTCAGCAACATCAACAACCTCACAGCTTCAGAGTTCAGTTCCCACCTGGCAGAGGAGTTTCTCCCCCTCTCTGCTTCTGGCAGTATTATGTACAAAATAGTCACTTACTGTGTCTAAATAATGATGTAATGTCCTGAAATAATGATTTGCAATGTCTAAATAAAATATTTATTTTCTAAACATCGTGACTTAGTATGTCAAAAAATGACCAAAAAGACGCGAAGACAGAATTTAAATTTTAAGAAAATATGTAATTGTTCCTAGTTTCATGAATTTAACGATACTAAGTCAAAATTACAAGAATATAAGTCATTATTTTTACATTCTAAGTCAAAATTACAATAAATAAGTCATTATTTTTGAGATACCAAACCTACTATCAAGAAAATTCTTTAGAATTTTGTAATCATTCTTCATTTCAAGAAAAGACACCATTATTGCTAATTTTAAGAAATTCTTATCCAAACAGAACCACAGTAACTAATGACAGAACTGCACTGAGAGCTGTAACAAAAAAAAAACCTACAATAATAGTTGAAGAATAATTACGATTCACCTCTAACAGAAGACTCTGAGAGGAGAAATGCTAAAGGTTATGCTGAAAGGCGTGAACCTTTCATCAGCAAAACACTGGAATTTGCAAAAAAAGTACAAAGAAGAGCCAAAATAGTACTGGAACAAAGTTTTGTGGACAAATGAGGTGAAGATAAAGAGAAGGAATGCAAAGGATCCAAGGCAGATAAGGCAGAGTGAGCGTTTGGGCCTTCATTAATAACTGAAGTGATGATGGAAGCAGCGTCATGAATTCTGTGTACGGAAACATCTTGACTTCTGAAATGCCTCCAGACTAAATGGGTGGATGTTCAAAATGCAGCAAAACGATCCAAAGCAAACTGCACACTTAATCAAAGAGGGTATCAGAGGTGAAACGTTTAAACTGGCCAAATCGGCTCTTGATTTAAAGGGGAATTTTCAATTTACTCCAAAATTCGACATAATAGTTGAGACGTGAAAGTCATTCAGAGTGGATTGATGTGAAATGGTTTATTTAGGTTTCAGAGAAACTTACTGACCGACAGATTTCTTTACAGTGGTGGTGACAGGAACCGAGGGAACAAGGGTCTTTAATGCAAATATAGTCATTTTGTTCATTATCCAAAACCACTAGTGAACCTAAGTTTTGATACGTAATGTTAACACTAAAATAATGATAAGTCCAAAAAAGATACATTTTTTGGGGGGGCTATTTTGCATCTTACCTAGTATCATAGTACCTCTGCACTATGAATTAATTTTTAAAATGATATATTTTAGGTTTATTTTAGGTTTTATCATACGTTTTCTAGAACAGAGCGTTTCACACCAAACCACTCTGAGTGACTTTATTTATGTCTACATGATTGAATTATGTTGGACTTTATGAAGTATGAAATCAAATCAAAATCTTTGAAGATCGATTAGGCATTGCAAAGTCTACAGTACATAAATTTTGCAAATATTTTTGCCAATATTTCAACCATTGCAGTAACCTCTGTTAGCATTTCTCTCCTCACTTCAGCAACCTCAGTGGTTGACACTCATCTGGTTGGTTAAAAGTTTACAGCTGTATCTTGTTGTTTCTCTCCAAACAGAGAGAAATGAAGGGCATTAATAGTGAGTTTGTCCCTCTTTGTTGCAGTAACAGCCTCTATTCTTGTAGGAAGGCTTTAGATTAGATGTTGAACATTGCTGTGAGGATTTGATTGAGCATTTGTGAGGTCAGGTACTGAAGTTGGATGGTCAGTTCTGGATCACTCCAACTCCCAAAGGTACTGGATGGAGCTCCATCACTCCAGTGAACACAGTTCCACTGCTCCACAGCCCATTTCGGGTTGGGGGTGGGGGTGGTGGGGCTGACACTTGGCATTGGGCTTGGTGACCTTAGGCTCATGTGCAGCAGCTTCTAAGTAGCCTATTAAGTATCCTACACCAGCTTTCTAATGTTGGCAGTGTTCTAAAATGCTTATATAAAGAACATATGATCCAGATGAACCAATGTGAATAAGCAAGAACATTGTGAAAGAGAACCAAACATTCAGGTTTGTGGGGGTTTGTTGGTGTTTTTTGAGGTCATTTGTGGTTGGTAGGTGTCTGCTGGGATTTGCAGGTGTTTAATAAGGTTTGTTTGGTGGGCTTTGTTGGGTGAAGTTAGTGTTTGTTGGTGTTTACTGGTGTTTATTGGTACTTACTGGAGTTTACCAGGGTTTTTAAAGGTTTGCTGGGATTTGCTAGTGATTACTGGTGTTTGTTGAAGTCTGTTTGGTGTTTGCTGGTGTTTGGTGGGCTTTGCTGGGTTACATTAGTGTATGTTAGGGTTTTCTGGGTTTGTTGTTTGTTGCAGCTTGTTTTTTGTTGGAGTTTGTTGGGGTTTGTTTGGTGTTTACTGGTGTTTGGTGGGCTTTGTTGGGCTACATTAGTGTTTGTAAGTGTTTGTTGGAGTTTGTCTGTGTTTGTTGGGGTTTATTGATATTTGTTGAGGTTTGTTGAGGTTCGTTGGTGCCTGTGTTTGTTGATGTACTTAAATGTTTGTTGGGGGTTGCTGGTGTTAGTTGATGTTTGTTGGTGTTTGAGGTCCCAGTTGGCCAGATTCCTTAAGCCGATAGATGAGGACTGTCCAATAAGAATGTCCCTCAGCTCTTTTCCTATTGGACAGGTTTGACTTAAGTTATCTGGCTAAACTAAGAAATCCTTCTTTGTGAAATATTCCCCAGATGCGTGCTGGAGTTTGATTTATTGATGTGTGCCCATGTATGTTGGGGTTTATTGATAGTTCTTGACGTTTGTTGGTAGGACATGGTAGAGCCGACATGGTCCTGTGCCTCTGTCAGAACTCCCTGAGGCCAACAGACAACAGACATCATGAGCATGAAGGAAATGCCCTGACCTCAACATATGATTTCACCAAACCACACACTAAACGTGCAGAAGCGTTGAATCCTAGAAGCAGTAAACTCAGCTAATATGATGATGTCTGCATTCAGTTTCAGTTCAGTTCAGTTTCTAAGTGTATTCTGAGACTAAATCACACTGTGAGGCTCCTCTTTCGAAAATGTTTAAGACTAGTTTAGTTAAAGACACAACTGACGGCTCCCGAGCGGTGCCACCGTCTAAGCGTTGGCCGTATCATCAGGAGATCGCGAGTTCGATCCCTGGTGATGCTACAGCCGTCCGTAGCCGGGAGTCCGAGAGAGCACAATTGGCCTCGCTCTCTCTGGGTGGGTAGGATGGCCCCTCCTTCTCCCCCCATCACCCAGCGCGATGCTAGTCAGCGCAGGCGACTGTTAGCTGACGTAACAGATCTGGCGGTTGGCGCTTTCCTCCGAGCGCGTTCGGCTGTCCAGTGACGCTGTGTGAGTGGCAGCTCGAAAAGAAAGCGGTAGCTGGCTTCACAGGTCTCGGAGGAAGCCTGTGCTGCCTTCACCCTCCTAGTGTTGATAGCGTCGTATGTGATTGGGGGAGACTAACTAGCGGGTGGAATTGGAGACGACTAAATTGGGGAGAAAATCGGGTAAAAATTGAGACACAACTGACTTTAAGTCGAAATGATGACCTGGCAAAAAATCAAATTTACACTTTCCTCTTGCATAACATGTAGTTGATCCAAGATCAGCCATTTGATCAGGCATGAGCAAATCATTAAAGCATATACACCACCGATTAGCATCGTGCTAAAATCACACAGGCCTGAATCCCCACAAACCTGCCTCAGATCTAGTGGAGTTGTTTAATAATCTCTAATAGATGTGATTATGTGATGTGCTTTGTGGATTATGTGGTTCATGTGGTTTGGAGATTATGTGACGCAGTATAACACACTGTTATCTGTAAACATGGACTAAATGATGCTAACCGGTGGCTCTATGCATCCATTACTTGTTAGCAACATTAGCCTTGTGTCTCAGAAGCAAACGTCAGGCACTCACAGTTGAAGAGGTTATAAATATAACTGGTTGTGAGTTTTAATTACAAGCTCTCTTGAGCTGATCAGTGTTCTCTCCAGACGCCAGTGCTTTGGCACAGTAATGAGGGCAGTGTGTATGAGAGAGTGTGTGGACTCTCACCTCGTGATCACGTAGGGCGCGAAGCACAGCACGAACGTGCCGATGAAGGTGCTGATTTTTCTGGTTGCACGCTGCCGTCGCCTCCTCTGCTCCTCCAGACATCGCTGCCGAACACTGAAACACCAGAGCATCAACGTGTGTGAGTGCGGATTTGTTTTCATGTATTATTCAGGATGAAAGTGTCCAGACTGGGAATAAAATCCAGAGAAGTGCATCGCAAACCTACAGGACCAAAGAGCTTGTTTAGTTTTTTGAACTGAAAAGGCAAAACTACATCTTTTTGGCTCCTATGGTTGAAGTTATCTTAGAAAAACCTTTTACATATAAATACATTTCGCTGCTGTTGGAAGAAAACCTCGTATCTCCATTTTTGTCATTTTTCATAATCTGAAAATGCCTGTTTCCCTTTACATTGTGCGTAAATTTCATGATGAATGGACCAAAAGAAACAACCCAAAATGACATGGACAAAATTCTGGTTCCATTGACTTCCATTAAAAGTAAAGTATGTTTTTTCCTTCTCCTGTAAAGTTACCATTTTGGAGAGGTTTTGTTCCGACAACAGCGATATATAAGATACATATGGGATGCATTGTTGTTGGGACATGTTGTTGTTGTTCTTGTTGTTGCTGTTGTTATGTATAGGTACTGACATACACAATACTGTGTGAAAGTCAGAGACCACCCTTCATTTATTTAGAGTCCAGTCAAAATAGCCATTGACTTATTCCTTTTTCAACATCAGCAAAAAACAAACTCTCAGCAAAAAATGGTTCTATATAGTAATGTTTAAGGTGCTACGTAGAACCATTTATGCATCTAAATGTTCGGTATCACTTTCTAAGACCACCCTTATAAAAGGTTTATGAAAGGGTTAAAAAGAATTTAGTATTATGTTTATTAATTCAGTCATAAACTCTTTAAAAATCATTACTTATTATACCTACTTTTACCTACTTTTTTTCAATTATAATGATAATAATACAGGCTTAAATATATACAAACCCCATTTCTAAAAAAGTTGGGACGCTGTGCAAAATGTAACTAAAACAAAATGCAATCATGTGCAAATCATTGAAACCCTATATTTGATGGAAAATACTACAAAGACAACAAATCAAATGTTGAAACTGAGAAATTTTATTGTTTTTTGAAAAATATTTGCCCATTTGGAATTTGATGCCAACAACATGTTCCAAAAAAGTTGGGACGGGGCAACAAAAAGCCGGGAAAGTTGCGTTATGCTAAAAAAAAAACAAAAAAACAAAAAAAAACACCTGGTGGTTGAATGACAACAGGTCAGTAACATGATTGGGTATAAAAGAACATCTCAGAGAGGCGGAGTCTTTCAGAACTGGGCCTGAGCTCATTTAAATGGACTGAGGTGAAGTGGAAAAGTATCCTGTGGTCTGACGAATCAACATTTGAAATTCTTTTTGGAAATCATGGACACTGTGTCCGCCGGACTAAAGACCACTCAGCTTGTTATCAGTGCACAGTTCAAAAGCCAGTATTCATGATGGTATAGGGGGCATTAGTGCACATGGCATGGGTGACGTGTACATCTGTGAAGGCACCATTAATGCTGAACGATATACACATTTTTGTATATACAAAATATACATGTGTATATACATGTTTTGGCAACATATGCTGCCATCCAGACGACGTCTTTTTCAGGGAAGGTCTTGATTATTTCAGCAAGACGATGTCAAACCACATTCTGCATGTATTACAACAGCATTGCTCCGTATTAAAAGAGTCCGAGTGTTAAACTGACCTGCCTGCAGTCCAGACCTGTCACCACTGAAAACATGTGAAATGAAATGAAAAATATGACAAATGAGCCCCTGAACTGATGAGCAGCTGAAATCCTGTATCAAACAAGAACAGGAAAACATTTAACTTTCTAAACTCCAGCAGCGTCTCCTCAGTTCACAAACACTTACAGAGTGTTGTTAAAGAAAAGGTGATGAAACACAGTGGTAAACAGGCCCCCGTCCCAACTTTATTGGAAAATGTTGCAGGCATCAAATTCAAAACGGGCACGTATTTTTCAAAAAACAACAAAATTTCTTTAAAATATTATATGTTGTCTTTGTAGTATTTTCAATGAAATATAGGGTTTAAATGATTTGCACATTATTGCATTTTGTTTTTATTTACATTTTGCACAGCGTCCCAACTTTTTTGGAAATGGGGTCATACAATACAAATAGGACTGGCATTATATATAAGTAACACTACAAGTGACACTAATGAAAGACTAGAGGATGACTAACCCAAACTGTGCATCAACAGACGGTCTACAGTCCCCAAATTTTAATAAAGGTTCTAATACAGTGGACGAGCAGAACTTCACAGACATTTGTGCGTTTTTGCTGCATTACTTTCACAGCCCTGAAATGAGGTGTGATTATGAGGCCGTCCAAGCTGGAGCTGAAAGCACATCTCTTCTGCTGCCTCTTGAGGTTCCGCTATCATAACGAAATGTCATGTCTAAGCGCAGTCCGCTCTGTCCCGAGGCTGAACGCGTCTCCCTCGAGTACAGCAGACTAGTCTTAAAATAAGCTACAGTCCCAAACTGCTCAGTTTTACAGCTGCAGCTTTAAAGGATAAACACATTGCTGTAATCTTTCCATTTACAGTTCTGTGTAATAACGTTTTTCCAATCTTAGCCTGTAAATCTGTATTAACCTTCAGACTCAGCTACGCTCTTAATGGAGATGGTTCTTCACGAGTTCTTTAGTAAAGATAGTATGGAAGCATGAACACTTAAAGAACCATTTGCATGCCTAGATGGTTCTTCGCATGGTGAAATTGTTCTTCGGGTTGAAGGAGAATGTGTTGTGTATAATTCTGTATAGAATCAATAAGGATTTTCTGCTGCTAACAAGCTTAAAATCCTCACAACAGAAGAGTGTATCATTTGGTGGTTATATAGAACCATATACACTGTATTCTCCATCAATCTGAAGAACCACTTCACCATGCAAAGAACCATTTAAGCATGAAAATGATTCTTTCAGTGTTCATGGTTCTATACAGAACCACTGGCTTCACTAAAGAACCCTTGAAGAACCTTCCATTGTACATTACAAACAATAATAATTAAATGATTAAGATGCAAAGTGGTTCAGAGTGGTTTGGTGTGAAACACTCCATTCGAGAATCAGAACTGTTCACAGTGGTGGTGATAGGAACCAGACGTCCACCTCTAAAAGCTCCCTCACAGAAAGTTCCTACATGAAATGGTTATGAATTCACTGCCTGATGACTGAGACACTGTTTTATGATAGTTTTGAGAACTTAAACTCCATTCATGGTGGAGGGATACATGCAGGGCGCTGTGAGGCAAAATAGTCCCCAAAGAAAACTTATTATTTCAGATTTTCCACTATTTTCCATCATCAACGTTCCATATAAACTCAGAAGACTCCTGTAGGTTCACTGGTGGTTCTGGATAGTAAATAAAATGTCTATATTTGTGTTGTAGTCATGGCGACCCCTGGTTCCTATCACCACCACTGTGAAGACATCTGAGTCAGAAAGTTTCTCAACAATGCTCAACAAAACCATTTCAGACAAACTACTGTAACTGACTGTTTCATCTGAAGTGTTCATTATAGCTTGAAGTATTTTTGAGGATTTTAACCTTACAGCATTTTTAAAGTACATTAAGAACAGTGTTTTGATTTTGCTTTCCCATTGAAATGATCAGTTAAAAGAACTATGTCAGTAAACTGAATCGTTCGGTTAATTGAATAAAAACTATAGGAACAGGCTGCGTCCACAACCACACACTACCATACTACACACAGCTGAATGCACTACAACTAGTGACGCATTATTTTATTATACAACACTTAGTTCCGGCCACACAAGCTGATTGGTTGAGAAGCGTTCTAAGTGTGCTGTTATTTCACCATAACATCACTTTTTTTTTCACAAAGCAACGACTTTGACAGCTGTAGGAGACGCTCAAGCCATTTGAACGTTTTTACTTCTTACTTTGCCACAAACAGAAAATGGACACTTTTAAGATCACATTTGACCGACAGCCGATTTGGTCAGACTCTGAAGATGAGACGACACTAAATTCCCAAACTGTCATCACCACTGAGCAGCTTTTCAGTCGGCAGCTGAGACAGAAGAACAGCTGAACAACCTGGAATCAGCCAGAAATGAACCCAACACCATTCGCCAAACTAAATGGGCTGTAAGATGCTTTACAGACTGGCTGGAACAAAACAACATTAATACTGATCTGGCAAAAACTGACAAAACTGAGCTGAACTTGATATTGCGGCAGTTTTGTGGCTCAGTCTGTACTTCAAAAGGCGGGGCTTACAGCAGACTATGCAGCGAATGGGCGGAGCTCATTACTCTGACGTAGCAACAAGCTGCTCGTTAAGGAACTATAATTTGGTGAAGGAACTGCGAACATTAAAACATATTAAACGCCGCGTTCACGGCCCAGTTTATTAATTTATTACTTTATTTATTTAACTGTTGTATCGCCAATAACATCACGGCTGTGATGATCTACGGCGACCAAATCACAGCCGTGATGTTATTTCATGATAACACACTCCCTCTGTGTTCTGTTGCTTAAATATTGTATGATGTAGGGAAGCGCAGGGAACAAATTAACACGTGGCACCATTTAACACAGACTTTTTACATTGTTAAAGAAGGTCAGTCAGCGTGAGCTTCTGGCCACATTACCACATTTCGTAGTCGCAGTTTCCCATCAAAATCCAGAGTGATTAATAAGCGTTTTAAAGAGATCTGAGCCAAACAGTGTTTTCAGGGCATGTACGTCATTTTTTTCAACACAGGCTTTTTCGGTAACTGAGCTGTTTGTGTGAATCACAAAATCACTTTAATCACGATCTTACTTCCTACAGCGCAGCACCGTTTAGAAGCAGCTGACAAGCTCACAGCAAGCGCTAGCAAGGCTTCAGTCCAGCCTCCGCACTGCGGGGTTAGTTCTTACACAGCGTTACAGCTCAGACACCTTCAGTACACAAAGACTGATAAAGCACATTCAGTCTTTTAGTTCCAGTTTACACAGATTTAAACTGAAACAGAGAAACATCTGAAAACAGAGATCTTCTTCTGCTCTATTAGGATCTTTCAGACGTCAGTATTTCAGTTTTAAATAAGTTTCTTAATGAAACTGACATTATCAGCTGGTAAAGCTGTAGTTATTCAGAAACAATGTTCATATTTTACTGATGTGGGATGTTTTTATTTGCTGTCCTTCACTGGACTAAAATAAATCTGTCATTTTTTGACACGACAGACTCAGTCAGTGTTCATATATAATCTGGTGTGTGTATCTATCGATTGATCTGTCTGTCTTATAGATGATAATATATAATGCAGTTTGGTTGGAAAATATATTGGTTTCTTATAACAGAATTATATTGATTTAACTCTGTTTGTACTGATTCACCAGACTTTTTTAGCAGGTGTTAAACTGACCCTCTGTCTGTTACAGTGAACCCACCCATGGGGTAAATTGTAACATCACACTTCCTTCCATTTTCCATGGAATTGTACTGAACTGTAGGAGCTGGAAACAAAGTTTAGGTGTTCGTTTGTAGCAGAGATGTTTATGTTGTTTGTGTAAAATATGATTATTACAGCCCCACTCTCCCCTACTATTTGGTATGAAGTCCAAAGTTCACGGTATTTCTAGATCCCCCGTGTTTCTCATTGTCCTTTAGAAGAAAAAACAGACCGTTCTAAAGAACTGGTTCTGGAAATTGAACTGGACTTCCCTTCACTGTATCTCCAGGAGAACAGAATTAGAGAGACTGACAGTGTGAAACCGTGAAAGTGGGTTACTGTAGAGCTGAAACTGTAACTATGATGTTAATCATTTCAGACTAACTAAGGAAATGAAATTGCATCCTAACAGTTTGTAGCCTAAACTCCCATGGAATGAAAAATGAATCATTTCACTTAAAATATTTGGTTAAGTGAGTCAGAATCAGTTCAGTAAATTGAATCAAACCTCCCTGCATTATACACAGAACTGACAGTATGAGACTGAATGGACTGTCAGGGTCCAAACTGTAACAGACACAATATCTTTAGATTACAGTGGTGACCATTGCTCCTGGTTAAAAAACGAATCAGAGGAATCGGTTTAGTTTAAAGATTTAGTGTTATTACACTCAATAGAACTTTATGGAATCGGTTGAATTTAACCCTTAGAACAATTTGCAGTGAAACTTTAGGGCACTTCTAGCCTTCATAACTTCAGAACTTGCACTTTCAGCTCACAGACACTCCAGAGTAACAACTACTGAAAAGGTATCTGAGATGCTTGTTTTCAAGATCTCCATAAGCAAAAAAATACTAAATTTAGCAGGCACTGTGTAAATTATTGATCAAAAATGGCCCAAATTCATAAAGATAAGACAAGCAATGGCATATCTATGCAGCCCAGGGTCTCCTGAAAATAACAATATATGGCATGTGTGACTGTCTCATGTAAACACTTTATAACTGCAATTGTAATTGACCCAAAATACCAAAAAGGGCGTTTAAAAAATGGGTTTACGGGTGAACATGTTATTAATCAAAAACTGCGATTCAAAAGAATCAGTTCAGTTACATGAATCGAACTTGCCTTCACTGTGGACAACCGAACAGAACGAACCTGTGCAGATGAGTTACTGTGTTACTGTTTATCATCACACCTAGTGAACTGAATCAAACATCCCTTCAGTCTTTATTACACAACAGAAATTTGTTACTGTAGTTGTCAGAATTATAGCATTTATCCAGGTTTTGGACATACATCATCTAAACCGCTTATCCTTCTGGGTCGCGGTGGAGTGCTGGAGCCTATCCCAGCTGTCATTGAGCGGAAGGCAGGATACACCCTGGACAGGTCGCCAGTCCATCGCAGGGCAGACTGTCCAGGTTTTGGACAGTGAGTTATAATCATTCATACAAATATAAATCATTAAAGGGACCAAAATCATCAGTTTAACCGTTGATACATCTGTGTGAACATCCCTGATCGCCTCTTGCAGCAGTAATTTTAAAGAGACTTTCCAGTTTAAAGAACAGAAAACCACCTTCTGATGATGTCATTCGAAGGTGGGAGTAAATTGCTACGACTGCAGGGTGGATGCTTCACTAATGTTAACTCGCAGGTATATTGGTTGGCCTGTAGATCAGTGGCTGGCAGTCGGGATTTGTTGACACCACAGGGATTTCCAGTGCCTGTATGATGGATTTGAATAATGCATGCTGGGTAATGTAGTGTTGGACGGAAACACGAAAATGAGACAGAATCATGAACTCTGTCAGTGCGATGAGGCTGAGGGATGCAATACAGCACTATAAAGTACCAACTTAATGTAACAAACAACATATTAAATCCTTTCTTTTGGTTCTTTTAGGGTTCTTTAGTAAAGAAAACGGTTCTGTATAGAGCCATAACCACGCAAAGAACTCTTTACACGATTAAAGGGTTTTTGCATTGTTAAATGGAAAAGACTGATGGAGAATGTGCTGTAGATGGTTCTAAATAGAACCTTTTTGACAAGGGTTCTAAATAGCACCAAAAGGGTTCTTCTATTGTTACAATGCCAAACCTACATGGAACACTTTTTTTCGAAAATGTTCTATATAGAACCATGTAAAACAATGTCAAACTTGTTACAATAGAAGAACCCTTTTTGGTGCTACACAGAACCCTATTCAAAATGGTCCTGTGTAGAATCATCTACAGCACATTCTCCATCAATCTGAAGAACCATTTTATGATGCAAAGAACCCTTTAATCATGCAGATGGCTCTTTGAGTGTTCATGGTTCAATATAGAACCATTTTCCTTACCAAAGAACCCTTGGAGAACCATCTTTGTTAAGTGTGTAGTTAAATGTAATTCACCAAATCAGACAGATACGGAAGGAGTTGCTAATACAAAGTTAAAGAACCCATTTCCTACATTTTTCTCCAGTTCCACTTATGACATTGTTTGGCTTGATGTACCAAAAATGGCCATAAATCATTTTACATTTTTCCAACTTCTGTTCTTTAAAACTAAACACATTATTTTTGTAAACATATACATGAGGACTGTTCTGATTGGCTGCCCTGTTTTGTGCCTCATTCAAAAAGCACTATTTAGCTGTGTCCCAATTCAGGGGCTGCATCCTTCTGTGAGCTGCATTCGGAGGCTGCATTTGAAGGCCAGTTGAGTCACAGCGGTGCGACTAGGCTGTCCCATTTCAAAGGCTCCTTCATATGCGGCCGAGAAATGTGTCCCTCTGTTCCATGGGAACAACGGATCCAACAGGTGGATCCTTCACCAGCCAACACATCCCCAGGTTCACTGCGCGTCAGCGAGGATTCGAGAACATGGCGGCGTCAGCAGAGGAGCGAGCGGCGGCTGAGAGGTCACTTTAAATGTCAGTATTGGGTTTAACTGAGTCGAATAGCTAATGACACAGATGTTAAAAAGCCAATTAGGTCTGAAGAGAAACTTACACTGACGTTCCGTTTCGTTTTAGGGAGCAAAGGGCCGACAGAGAGACGCAGCTCCAGCCCTAATAAATGAAAACATAAACTAAGATCAAAGTCTTAAAGAACTGTAAAGAACCCGATCAGAGCGGCGTTTCCTGACGCAGCGGTGAGGGCGGGAACAGCGGTGCTGTGACCCAAACAGGAAATCCGCCGTAGAGCCGACCGTCTCATTGCGGTGCAGCCTTTGCGGATCTAAGCCGCCTTCTAAGGATGCAGCCTGAATTGGGACGCAGCTCTTATAACTTCAGCATGAATGGGTGGGGCTAAACTGCCGTAGGCTGACTGGGTGGGTATATGTAAATAAGTTGGTTGTTGTGACGTCACAGAAATAATTAAAAGCAGGTTGTTTGTGCAGTTTAGTCAGACTGGACTGTGGACGGCAGTGTGAACGGCGTGTTTTCGTGCGGTTACTTTAAATTCCTCATTTAAAGATAATTTTGTGATAAAAACCTGAGCTGGACTCACCTGGGATGGATGTCCACGAGCAGCACGAGCGTCTGCATGGTGATGACGTCGATGCGCCTGCAGTGCACGCGCGCCACACGCAGCACGCCCCGGTAGGTGACGCAGAGCACCGCGAGCGACAGCGCGAAGGTGAGCGCGTGGAAGGTGACGGTGAAAGCGGCGAAGTGCGCGCGCGCCGGTCGGACCGTCCCTGTAGCCGTGGTCTCCTCGTCGTCCTCCTCGTCTTCCTCGCGCAGCGTGCACGAGGCGTACAGCCGGTGGTACCCGACCCAGGAGCGGCACGCGGCCGCCGCCGAGAAGCACGCGGCGTGCGCCCACGCGCAGGCGAGCGCGGCGGCCGCGTGACGTCGCCTCATGCGCGAGCGATAGCGCAGCGGCGACACGACCACCGCGAGCCAGCGGTCCACGCTCAGCGCCGCCGTGCTCAGCATCGCACCGCCGCTCAGGAGCGTCTCCAGGGCGCCGAGCGCGCGGCACCCGCCGCCGCCGGTAGCCGTGCCGGTGGCGTCAGGCGCGCGCCTACCGGCGATCAGCACGGCGAGGGTGAGCGGCACGCTGGAGACGGACAGCAGCAGGTCGCAGAGCGCGAGGCTGAGCGTGAAGAGCGCGGGAGCCTGGCGCCGGATCTCCGGGCTGCACGCGAAGCACGCGAGGACCAGCGCGTTGGCCGGCACGGACACCACCATCACGGCCAGCAGCGCGGCGCACGCGAGCGCGTCCACCGCGTCCATGGCGTGTGAGAGAGAGAGAGAGAGGGAGGGATGGAGGGCTACGGTAACCCCCTCCCCTCCACGCCGGTACGCGCGGATGGAACTCTCGCTCTCCACGTCACCGCGCGCTTCGCCTAGTGCTGTCCATCAAAAGAGAGAGAGCGAGCGAGCGAGAGAGAGAGAGGGTTCCCCACCCCCATTCCCCACCCCCCCACACGCACACATACTCCGGTCCGCGCGGATGGGAATCTTGCTTTTCGTATCATCGCGCGCGCCTCCTTCTGCTGTCCATCAACTCTGAACGAGCTCGGGGTAACTGGGGCCGAATCCTCACCTTGGGCGCGAGGCGAGATCTACAGGGGGCCAATAAATCTCTTTCCTTCGCGAGACACAACACACACACACACACCACACACACACACACACACACACACACACTCACTCTTTTGTCCGGTGCGCGTGACCAGATTCTCCCCCTGTTACTTTGCCATGTGGTAGTGGTGCTCCTCATACATCTGACACCTCAATCAGATTGATTGATTGATTCTTAGGGGTGAAGGGGTTGAAATGCCCCCCCCCTTAAATAAAATGATAAAATGACCAAATGCCCCCCACAGATTCCTGTCAGTGCCCCTTGGCACCCAGTGCGTGTAAGTAAACACACCCTCTGGCACTTTGGCCATCCGGGCTGCTTTTCTGCAAGGCTAGACTTGAGGGGCTACAATGTGCCCCCACCCCCCCTTAATATAGTGACCAAATGCCCTCTTACCCCCGTACAGACATACTCCACTGCTCTACATCAGACAGACGTATTTAAATCCATTAAATGCAGATGAACTGTGAGTAACTGAAGTGGAGCAGGGAGGGGCAGATCTGGGGGGAAGGAGGGGGGCATAAAATAGACGCTGCTGTTACATTTAATTCCTTTTTAACCCTCAGAGAACCAAACACTGAATTTATTGATCATGTATTGTTCATCTCTTAGGAAGCTGCTCATCATAAAAAGTTGGTTAGGGTTAGGGTTAGGGTCAGTGTTAGGGTCAGGGTTAGGGTCAGGGTCTAAAGTAGAGGATGTTTTAACTTGGAAAATCAGCAGAAACAGATCAGGGGTGTTCAATTATTTTGGATATGACTGTACAGACACTCACTGACCACTTTATTAGGTACACCTCCTTGTTTCTGCGCTTATTGTCCATTTTATCAGCTCCACTTACTATATAGGTGCACTTTGTAGTTCTACAGTTACAGACTGTAGTCCATCTGTTTCTCTGATACTTTGTTAGCCCCCTTTTACCCTGTTCTTCAGTGGTCAGGACCCCCATGGACCCTCACAGAGCAGGTACTATTTGGGTGGTGGATCATTCTCAGCACTGCAGTAACACTGACGTGGTGGTGGTGTGTTAGTGTGTGTTGTGCTGATGCGAGTGGATCAGACACAGCAGTGCTGCTGGAGTTTTTAAACACTGTGTCCACTCACTGTCCACTCTATTAGACACTCCTACCTTGTCAGTCCACCTTGTAGATGTAAAGTCAGAGACGATAGCTCATCTGCTGCTGCACAGTTTGTGTTGGTCATCCTCTAGTCCTTCATCAGTGGTCACAGGACGCTGCCCACAGGACGCTGTTGGCTGGATATTTTTGGTTGGTGGACTATTCTCAGTCCAGCAGTGACACTGAGGTGTTTAAAACTCCAGCAGCACTGCTGTGTCTGATCCACTCAGACCAGCACAACACACACTAGCACACCACCACCACGTCAGTGTTACTGCAGTGCTGAGAATGATCCACCACCCAAATAGTACCTGCTCTGTGGGGGTCCTGTGGGGGACAGTGAGTGTAAAAACAAGGTAGGTGTACTTAATGAAATGCTAGGTGGGTTTATATACATATATAGTCAATTGTCAATTAATTTCATGTTATATGAATTTATATGCTAGAAATATAAACGGGAAGCCTACAGTTTCATGTATTACTCCAGATTAATCTCACAAAGGGTGAGCTGGATCAGGAGTGAAGGCTGGATCAGGTGTGAAGGCTGGATCAGGAGTGAAGGCTGGATCAGGTGTGAAGGCTGGATCAGGTGTGAAGGCTGGATCAGGTGTAAAGGCTGGATCAGGAGTGAAGGCTGGATCAGGAGTGAAGGCTGGATCAGGTGTAAAGGCTGGATCAGGAGTGAAGGCTGGATCAGGTGTAAAGGCTGGATCAGGTGTAAAGGCTGGATCAGGAGTGAAGGCTGGATCAGGTGTAAAGGCTGGATCAGGAGTGAAGGCTGGATCAGGAGTGAAGGCTGGATCAGGTGTAAAGGCTGGATCAGGAGTGAAGGCTGGATCAGGTGTGAAGGCTGGATCAGGTGTGAAGGCTGGATCAGGTGTGAAGGCTGGATCAGGTGTAAAGGCTGGATCAGGTGTAAAGGCTGGATCAGGAGTGAAGGCTGGATCAGGTGTAAAGGCTGGATCAGGTGTAAAGGCTGGATCAGGAGTGAAGGCTGGATCAGGTGTAAAGGCTGGATCAGGAGTGAAGGCTGGATCAGGTGTAAAGGCTGGATCAGGTGTAAAGGCTGGATCAGGAGTGAAGGCTGGATCAGGTGTAAAGGCTGGATCAGGAGTGAAGGCTGGATCAGGAGTGAAGGCTGGATCAGGTGTAAAGGCTGGATCAGGAGTGAAGCTGGATCAGGTGTGAAGGCTGGATCAGGAGTGAAGGCTGGATCAGGTGTAAAGGCTGGATCAGGTGTAAAGGCTGGATCAGGAGTGAAGGCTGGATCAGGAGTGAAGGCTGGATCAGGTGTGAAGGCTGGATCAGGAGTGAAGGCTGGATCAGGTGTAAAGGCTGGATCAGGAGTGAAGGCTGGATCAGGTGTGAAGGCTGGATCAGGAGTGAAGGCTGGATCAGGTGTGAAGGCTGGATCAGGTGTGAAGGCTGGATCAGGTGTAAAGGCTGGATCAGGAGTGAAGGCTGGATCAGGTGTAAAGGCTGGATCAGGAGTGAAGGCTGGATCAGGTGTGAAGGCTGGATCAGGAGTGAAGGCTGGATCAGGTGTGAAGGCTGGATCAGGTGTAAAGGCTGGATCAGGAGTGAAGGCTGGATCAGGAGTGAAGGCTGGATCAGGTGTGAAGGCTGGATCAGGAGTGAAGCCTGGATCAGGTGTAAAGGCTGGATCAGGAGTGAAGGCTGGATCAGGTGTAAAGGCTGGATCAGGTGTAAAGGCTGGATCAGGAGTGAAGGCTGGATCAGGTGTGAAGGCTGGATCAGGTGTAAAGGCTGGATCAGGTGTAAAGGCTGGATCAGGAGTGAAGGCTGGATCAGGAGTGAAGGCTGGATCAGGTGTAAAGGCTGGATCAGGAGTGAAGGCTGGATCAGGTGTGAAGGCTGGATCAGGTGTGAAGGCTGGATCAGGTGTAAAGGCTGGATCAGGAGTGAAGGCTGGATCAGGAGTGCTGGGGATGGAAATAGATAAAAAATGTGGAGGAAAAGTCATTTGCTGGGTTAAAGTTCAACCCACAGTCTATGAGGGAGCAGCAGCTGTATGTGTGATGCTAAAAACTTACATGGTTGCATTTTTTACAATATTGACAGAAACTGCCTCAAATTTGTGCACGGACATCGTTTGTTCATTTGTCATTTTTATGATTAAAAGTGTTAAGAATCAGCTTAAACTCTTACTGAGAAGAGCCAAATCTGCACCAAAACATTGATTAAGGGTGCCAGTAGGAGGCAGGCGTGCTGGTTGATGTTGGCGTGCTGTGAAATTCAGAATATTATTACAGTTTTTTGCCATATTTGATGCTATGGTAGAGTTGACTGTGAGGACTTGTAGGATTAGTGGTATTTAGCCAGACTTGGGCATAAAAAGAGTCCTTTGTACAATTGTTACAATGTATCTGAGGGTTAAGAGATTCCCACCCCTCGTCCAGGTGCGTCCAGTGTGTGTGGTAAATGCCCCCTTTAGCACTTCAGGTATCAGGAGCATCAGGGTTACATTTCCATAAATCCCACTGAATTACATTCAGGACTCACCCAACCCAGAAGAAATTCACACTGCCATAAAAAATGCACCCCCCGCCCCCACCCCGCCCCCACCCCGCCCCCCTCCATTCGGCCTCCCTTCGGCCTCCCTTCATACCCTTTCACCCATTTTTGTATTTATTGCCCTGAGTCACATCACTTCTTCACATAACCAGACATAAGCAGTAACTAAGCTCAGTTCAGCTCAGGTCTGTATTCACTGTTAGAAATAAAGGTACATTTTTCGTTCATCAAGGTACAAACAATGTAAATGTTCCCTCAAAGCTCCAACAGTGGTTTTAAGGTCTGATTGTGAACCTTAAATAAGTTTTCTCCAGGTGAAAAGTTCGTATTTGTACCTTTTCATAACCGAATGTTTTAAACAGAACAGTAAAATAAAAGCCTGGAGACGAGACGGGGTGTGTGGAGTCAGTACAGCTTAGAACATATCATTTCAGTGGATTATGGTTCAGTTATGTTCCCTGACTGAAGGTAGTGAGATCCTTTTTGGGGTCTAATATCATTCTGTGGTGTTGGTGCAGCCTTAGACTGTTTCACACCTCTCACTTTGAAGCTGAGAGCACCTGCTGATCCTTCACTCTGTGCAGCAGCTCCTAAAGGGAATGAAGACTGTGCAGCTGTAGAGTCGGGCAGTGAAAGATGTGAGGAACGAAGAAATCTGTGTTTGACCCTCTAACATTGTGGGATTGTCGTGATGTTTAGCTGTGATGACAATAGTAAACTAACTGCTTTCCGAAGTCTTTTTAGGAATTTGACTGAAGCTGTATATTGAATCTTTTTCCTCTTCTGAACGTTTAGCGTGTCTCTCCTGCTTAACTAACGTTTACAGCGTTTAGGCTGGCTGTGTTTACTGTCTGTGTGGATTCATCTTAATGAAGACCAACAGTCAGAGTGAGTCGGCGCGTTCGGCTGATTCACCCACACATGCTAATCCGCAGTTTTTAATGGACAAGTTCACTGTTTTTCAGATCAGACCTCGTTAAAATTGTGCCTTCCCA